CCGTTCATACTATCAGTTAGTGGTATGCAGTCGCTTTCTGTGCTTACTTGGGTTTGTAGATTAATACCTACAGAATTGATACGGTACCAGCTCGTTGATTACACAGTGCATGCCGGTTTCCTGTTATTTCTTGCATTCGCAGATAACGGTCGGGATTGGGTCAGGTACGGGAAATGATTTGCATACTACTAAACGTAGCAGCAACTTCGCAGTGGATGGTCGCTATCTATTGTCTAAAAGTTTAATAAAGTGAGCTTACCTAGTTGTTTTTCTGTAAGTATTGGGAGGATATGCAAGCACTTTCGACTTTCCAGGCCTGGAGAAAGTGGAGACGCCGAAACGTCAACCGAATAAAAATCGGCTTACAATTTTTATTTACCGCTCTTTATCTAGTAAAAATCAGCAAAACAATGCTAGAATCCAATGATAGCCGAATTTGAGATTTGCATTTCAATATGTTTTAGGCGATCAATTTGGTCTGCGGTGCTAAATCGCATTGCTCAGTTGGATGTTCTGTTATCCTTAGCCCGCTACTGCCAAACTTGTGGGCTTGCTGTGTGTCGCCCAGAATTTTTGTGCGGTTTAGACAAGGTTGCCAGATTTTGTTCAGCTCTTTATGAAACTTGTATCAAAATATTCTAGCCTACTTTGGAAATTGAAGAGGGTTATCATCCATGCCTTGCTGTAAAACTGCCTACTAGCGATGCTTCTTCTGCCTGCACTTATATAGGTATTTGAATGCTCTTTCTTTTCTTTTTTTAAGCTGAATGCAGGTTTGCTTTTTGATATGCTTAAATATTAACATTTTAGCAAATGACTCATATTTGGGTGGAGATCACCCTCCAACAGTTCTACTAACTGGTCCGAATATGGGTGGTAAATCAACTCTGATGAGACAAGTAGCAGTACTAACAGTTCTTGCGCATATGGTTAGTTTCTTTTCATATTCACAAAATTATGGGTTAAGTCGACTAACAGTTGGTTATTTTTACTCTTTATAACAATCATTTGAATTCTCTTTTGATTCGCAATTTGGAATTTTCTCATTTATTAAGCGAAAACCTGGAACTTCTGGATTAAATGAAATGGTCTAAGCACATTCATTAACCGATTCGGTTTTGACACTGGGAAGGCAAACCTTT